GGGGGGGGGGGATTGTTGGGTCATTGACCAGCATCTTCCTAAATCGAAACATGGCGCTGGTTGCTACGCTATAAGGAAATAAGTTGCGCCTTATCGACCAACAATTTCTTTTGGCGTAGTGGTAAGCGCTTGGATCCTAACAAGATGTTTGTATTGATGCGAGAATCATGTGTGGATTGTTTAGGTAGCACGACAGCTAAGCAAGTTGGACACCGGCGGGATCTTAACTAAATAGGCTAAGGTGAGTTTCAAGTAGATTTTAATGGGGTGTACGTCAAACATAATTACTTTCACATGATTTATCTTTGTCGGACGTGTTTTGGTGATTAAAGTGGAAAATGCATGATTTTAAATGATGTTATGAAAGGAAGGTGTTGATGTTTATACAAAGTGACTTTATACATATTAAGTATGCCTTTTTTCTTTGATAAAGTATGTAGGAAATACTTTGGTAACTTGAAAAGGTGATATATATTTTTAACAAACATGTTTTATAACCAAATGAGGGAAATGATTACGTTGTATAAATGGGGCATTGCGAGTTATTTATTTACTCACTGATGTGAGAATGGTAGATCTGAATTTGACGACTTAGGGTCATCCCCTTTGTTGCGTTTGTATTGTGGTCGCTCCCTTTAGAATTAAATGGGTTCTCCTATCGGTAATGTATTGAAGTACCGTGCATGGATACATGTGCCAAATACTCGGCTAATAAGTATGGTGTTAGGTGGACACATTGAACAATGGTGATTAAACCGAAATCAGCCTAATCGATAAGTGGACTGCTAGGCAGTGCTCCTCCACTGATTCCGGTTGTTATGGGTCACCCGCGTACTGTGTGGTATTCATAGAACTTTGTAAATATTGATTGACTGCAAACTTATAATGTTTTGGATGAATTTAACATTTGATTGACATGTTACATCAATCATATGTAAGTCATGCATTTTGTTTGAAAGTATAAATTACTTGAAATATCGTATTGTGAAAACTCTTGAATTCACCAGGCATGTAGCCTGATATGTTTTGTTTGTCGACGTGCATCTCAGGAACTAGTTGAAGTGGCTGTGCTAGCAACATTCTTGGTTATTACAAGGCTAGCAAGTAAGTTTATTGTATGATGCAATGCTTGAGACTTTTGGAAGATTAATCTGGTTTGGGTGAGTGTATTTTTGGGAGAATATGAATGTAGTATTATACCTTGTAAATAGTCTATCTTTATAAAGACTAGTTAGTAATCGTGGCTACTGTATCTCCATTCATTTTGCAAATGTTTACAGGTTAAAAAAATGGCAAAACATGACTTTTCAATCGATCATGTCGAATTTTTGCCAAAAAATTATAATCTAAGTATAGGGTGTTACACTTTTTCTAGCAAATTAGCAGCAGATAGGTAAATCTATTTATTTACTAAAAAGTAATTAATTTTAATTAACTAATATTACCGATGTATTACTGGGGGAACTTAAATAATTATCTTTAGTTAAAATCCGCTGATGATTTCTCAAATTTAATTAATTTTTTTTAATTTAAAAAAAACAAAAAAAAGACGATTTTGGCATTACCAATGAATTAACTGCAGACGTCCCATACGCCTGTAATCGTCAGAAACGATATTTCTGTAAAGGAAATTTGCATCCCAGCATACATTTTTGGAAAAATCGATAACAAAACATAATTTATCAAGTCATACAAGGCAAACATGATTTATAAAATAAAGTAATTTAAATCCATTGTAAATTCTACAAACCAAACATACAAAAGGATTATAAATCATTTCAATTCCAAATCTCTCCATAAAATCCAAATCTCTAAAATACAATCCTAAAAACCAAACGGGCCCTAAGAGCATTTTTGAGAGATTCTCTAAATTTTGTTTAAAATAGAGAATCAAAGATCAGAATATTAAAAAAAATTACATTCAATTTCAACTAAGGTGCCGCTTATCAAACGCTTACCCGGGTAAGCGTTAACCAAGTCACTTTACTTTACCGAATGAATAAGGCAAAGACTAAGAATCTCACTCGGTAAGAGCGAAGGCAAGAATCGAAAGTCTTACCCGATAAGTGAGAACGAAGACTTTTACCATGGTTAGCGATTACCGGGATAAATTGTTGCATACGATGCGTTTTAATGAATAAAATTTTACCCAGTAAGTAAGCGATTAATGTTGAATTTTACCGGTAAGTACTTATCAGGTAAGTGTTTAGATAAACGACCCCTAACTCTCTATTTTAAAGATCAAAACACTAATTATACTACTATAATATTCAATTTCAACTCACTCTCTATTTCAGTAAACATTTAACATCAAGGTTGCTTATTGATGGAAATATGTTGAATTTTTTTTATGATATAATCATTTTTGGGAAGTACTCCAAATTAGAAAATTTCACTCTTGTGTTTTTCCCATTTTAAATAAAGTTTTGGAGAATCTGTTGGAACAAAAATTTGTCATAGGTCATATAAGACCATGGTTTTAAAAAGTGTGTTATGGCATCCACCATGATGGGTTATGGCATAAGACGTATTCCCATCCTCACAATAAGACCTATAGCGTTTCTGTAAAGCATAGTTCACGTCATGATGTCTTGAGATACGTCGCAACATGCGTTATTTTACAAAGCGTGGCCTTTTGTTTTATTTTTTTTAAGTGAATTGTATTCATTTTCTTGGGTTTGAGTAAGATTTTAGGTTTTCCCTTGTCCTGCTTTGCGGCCAGTAGTGGCCATGTCTCCGGATCTCTCGAATTTCCCTCAGCGCGCTCGATCTACCTATCTTTCTGAGTTTGATTGGTACCGTCTGCTATTCTTACTAAATCTCAAGATTGAATTGGTAGTTGTACAATTGAACACGGTAGTAAAGTATACAAGTGTTGAAAGAGTGAAGTCTGGGGACAACGGTAAACGTCCCCAAATACGAAAAAAAGAATTTGAGCATTACCCGCTCTATCAGATAGGACTACTTCAGGAGGCCCCAAACAAGGGGCTGGCCGTCGTTCGTTGGCGTGCTCTTGAGGGGCTCACTACTCTTAACTATGGGAAAATAATTAGAATGTAAACGAAACAAATGCTTCACTCTCTCAGTCAACTATGTCACAAAATCTGCATATTGGAGGTCGAGATTTAATAGGGTTCTATTCAATTCAATTTTATGGGTTTGAGCAAAAATGTCTAAATTGTCCCTCGTATAACTAGAGTTAACAGAAAAGCATAATGGTCGTTAGCGGAAACGACCAAATCCATGAGTATTTGTAGAATACAGTGAGCGTAAACGAACCACATGGACCAAATCCGTAATTTCTAACAAACCACTTGAACCAAAGGTGTAGTTTACTCAACCATGCCAACTCCAACGTTTCCTTTAAGTTCAAGCATTCATTATCTATACGTTATGCAATCATTTAATTGTATTATTGGTCTACGTTGTCCTCGCCACATAAACATTAATATGTTAAAAGAAACATGTGGTTGTAGTGAAAAGAATATTGTTTCTAAATCAATTAGAATACGAAACGAAAGAAGTTTAAGTCTAATAAAATTTTGATAAAAAAGACGAGAAAAAGATAGTTAAGAAATTGTTTAACGTAATTAGAAGACATTCTTGAAGCTTTACTTGTAATAGGGGAATGGAGGCCATGAGGGAAGGCTTTGGCTAACATCTCCCCAAGTTTGATCTGCGATGGTGTGGTCAGGTGCAACCCATCGGGTTCGAGCCCTAGCCCTTTCGCATCAACGGTTCGTAAGTTCACGAGCCATGTTCCCAACTGAGCCTCTCTTACTCTCTCTATGTAAGGCCCAGCACCAGATGCCAATGCCACCTATCACACCCATACCCATACCCATCATCAAATGTTATTATACGGGAAAGGAAAGTGACTTAATGTAAATCCTGACTTTATGCAAATGAATTTTATACACTTCTTTTCTAAAAAAAAATTTATCAACTTATTATAAGTAGTTTAACTTTCTCAAAAACTTTTTTTTACTAATTTGACACCGATATAAATTATTTATCAAAACACTTAAAAGTTCTTATTATCGAAGCTCCACCAAAATAAATCAATTAAGTTATTTTTACAAGCAATATCATGGTAAGCAATTAATGGATTACCTGGATTATTGGAAGGGCGGGCAAAAGGAGATCGGAACGCACGTGTCCAAAGAATCTCTCCAATCTGCGTTTGTACAACTCGGCGTCCTCTCGAAACACCGTGTCACTCTCTCCTTGATACCACAACAGCCCTTTGATGGTGCCACCGCCCTCCAACGCCGCCTCCGCCCGTCGGATCAGCTGACTGTAAAGTGGCCCACCACGTGCCCACTCGCTAATATTGGTTCCACCCACCGCACAAGGAACCAACCCCACTACTCTTATGCTCGAATCATGCCGTAATAACGAATTAGCGAAGGCCATTCCAGGACCAACACCGCATGCCCTTAAATAGTCGATGTCACGGTGGAGAGGCTCCGTCGCCGTTTGCCAGTTGAGATCGGCGCTGAGGCGGAGAATGGCGGGGTTAGGGGATGATTGAGGAGGAACATAGCCGTCCCATTTGTCGTCGACGACACCGCCTCGGCCGGCCATGTTGCTCTGGCCGGCAAGGAGGAAAATGGTCTTACCGGCGTCGGCAATAGCGAGGTGAGTGGCGGTGGCGGTGGCCGTGGCCGTGGCGGAGAAGATGAACAGACAGGCGTAGAAGAAAAGTAAAGGAAGCATAGTGGTTGATGAGGGTGTGGGGTATAGTATAGTAAAGTAGCATCATTCCATTTAGCCAGTTTTCAAAGCAAGGATCAATTATTCTTAAATTTAATTATTATTTATTACTTTTATTTTGTAAAACGCCAGTTCACATGGAATTATTTAGTTTCTTTTTTAGAAAAGGGTTTTTGAAGATATCATTATACACTGAATGCTCATCAACACACATTCAAAATAAATGTGATGCATTTTAAAATACATTGAGTTACGAACAGGACCGGTTATGATGATCGAAAAACATAACACGTTAAGTTGGTTCCATTGGTCCAGACTTTGTCTCGCTCTCGATTATAACCGCCTACCAATCAAAAAAATCTTAACAGGTTGGAACTATTATAAACGATTATGTAGTCAGTTGTCAATCAAAAATCACATGTTATTTATTATATACTACTAATGTAACTGTGCAGGATGTTACGTAAATCATTTCCATTATGAAGCCGACAACCCGAAACGGCAATATTGTTTCAAATTTTGTTTTATTTTACGTCCCTTTAGATGCTAATTTTATAGGCTTTGTTCTTTCCTTTTAAAGATCAACATATGTATTAATTAGTAGTTTGTAGTTTTTACAAATCGTAATTGAAAAATAAAATGTAAAATTTATGTTTCAATAACAATATGATAAGAATACTTAAAAACTATATTTGTTGTGATAAAAAATTATTGAGGACTAGAATATTTCAAAAGGATAGACCAATAGTAAAATGAAACAAATCAATTGGACTCTCATATTCCATATAGAAACTATTTATGAAAATCAAGTCGATCTGTTCTAATGAAAATCAATATGGAACATCAACCCAGAAAAAGGGGCTTCGTATTAAATATACGATTTACCACATACATCGATTGAGGTTTCACAAAACATGTTCATCAATAAAAAACCCTTTAATAATCAAATCTAAGAATGATAACAAGTAGAAATTAATGCTCTAAAAGACTCAATATAGCAGCCGTTGTGGCACACTGTGGCTCAAGACTCATGTATGACATGAAGTTAAAGCTTATGGCATGTGCTAGCTTAGGATCGTTCGTGTTCACACAATGGGCACAAAGTCCCCACAGTGGCGGTGCAAGTGCACGCCGACACTATGATCGTTTGCAAGTAATGGAGTGGTAGAGTACCGAGATCGTTCCTACATGGATTGAAGTACCAAAAATAGTATAATTTCATGAACTTCTTGAGCATGTTTCGGTTTCTGATTAAAAGCTGGATTTTTGTTGGTGAAAAGCTTTAAAAGACTAAATAGACCTATTGTAAGTATTGCTTAAGATAAAAACAACAATATAATAGTCATAAACTTATGAGATGTTTATAGAAATTTTAATCTCTCGAAAGTGAAGTTTTATAGACAATGCCCATAAAGTTCCCAAAAAGTTCATTTCCACCACTCTGATGCTTGCTGATTTAGCTAAATAGAAAAAGAAACATTAAACTGGAAATTCATACTCAAATCTCTTTGTAATACTGTCACGCCCCGATTTTTTTTTCTTTTCTATCGAGTGCCGTGACGTCATTCTTAATAACTTATGTCATRAACAAAAATACGAACTTAAAATTTCAAACACACCTAATATGTTTAACATAATTCGTTACATAATTGCGGAAGCGTAAAATACTTTAACATAATCAATGCTAATTAAAATATCTAATCAARCATGATTCAAAAACATAGTTCCGTCTTTCTTCATTCACTCGTCTACTGACAAATGACACCTGAGATATATACATGTATAGTATAAGCAAAAAGCTTAGTGAATACAATATRGTTTCATGATCACATGCACACACAAAACAGTGTTTTAGCATATTTTAATTATTATCTTGCAAGTGAGGCCTCGGCTCGTCACTTTTCTTTGCGTATGTGGCGTATGCTATGGACGAAGACTCCAAGACCTCGGAATTGCAAGCCCTCCTTTCATGTCCAACTCACCCCGTACGGTGGACGAATCTTGCCGAATCATACTAGTTGCATATCATTTATTTGCAATACTCACTCATTAATGCAAATCTCATCTTGACATGCAACATACATCTCATGCAAGTGACAACATAAATCACATATGCATCATCGTCATTTTTTTCACATTATACATATACTTGAATATCATATTGATAATAACAAGTCATCATAATCTTTCTCATCAACATCACCTTTCATATCATGCATATATTTAAATATCATGCACATCAATATAATCAAGTTATCATCATATGCATATAAACATAGCATGCATATATCATGGATAAAATACTTTTCTAATAATCATGTATATATCCCATAAAAATCGCATAATGTACTCACCTGATAACGAAGATTGCTTAACTAACGTCGCTGACTGGTAACCTACARTTTATAATAGCAAATAGCATATAAATGATTAATTTCTCCCAAAGGCTAACATAAAAGTCAACTTATGGTCAACTACGTCGGCTAGGGTCAACCTTGGTCAACTATGATWAAGAACGTTCCTCACATCAACTAAAATTATAGGAACGTGAGTTCYGACATAAGGTGTATCATCTASCTATATGTCTTAAAACTATATCACAAAMGCTTTTAGGACCATAGCCCCTCTGGTTGTATTGACCAGAGCCCCTCTGGTTGTAAACCATAAGAAAATAATTCAACATCCAGGACCAGAGCCCCTCTGGTCTCTCTTCCAGAGCTTCTGGTTTCACGACCAGAGCYTCTGGTTGAACCAACCCATACTTAKAATATATTTCGACATTCAGGACCAGAGCCCCTCTGGTCTCTCAAACCAACCCATACTTGGAAAATAATTCAACATCCAGGACCAGAGCCCCTCTGGTCTCTCTTCCAGAGCTTCTGGCTTCACGACCAGAGCCTCTTGTTGTACTAAACCATACTTAGAAAATAATTCAACATCAAGGACCAGAGCCCCTCTGGTCTCTCTTCCAGAGCTTCTGGTCTTCATGACCAGAGCCTCTGGTTGTACTAACCA